TCCCCCCCCCCCCCCCCCCCCTCAACCAGGCTTCAGATTTAAAATTTAAAAAAAACAAACAAACCCCACCACGGACGCCTCTCTGCTAAGAAAAATGTATTATCACTGTGATGAGGGTGTAATTATGGGGAATTGATGGCGAGGAGATGTATGTAGTAGATTATGTGTCGTTATGCCATGTCACATGTACTTACATGGTGTAGTCATGTAGCAGTAAGCAATGCAAGGAGTCCGTCCATCCATCTGCCTGCCCACCCGAACCCAAAATGAACAGCTGTCTCTGAGCCAGTAGCAAGTGGTGCAGCAAACAAAACTTCAAGCGAACCAGCTCCATGCAAATGATTAGCTATCCATCTGTTCGTTTGCGAGTATTACCAGCTAACAGTTCGTTACCCGTGGACGCTGAACTAGCAAGCCTAATCCAACACGAACAAAATGCCTATCTACGTCAGCAGACGTGCTACTTTCTCCCTGAGACTAGCAAACAAGTCACACACTCCCAAGCCCGTCGCTGACATAAAAAACAGAACCATAATAAACATTACCATACAAACATCAAAAGCCATACCACTCACAACTAGGCCAGGGCAAGATCGACTCTGGGATCGATCTTGTTCCCAGACTCTAAGCTTCGAGTCCGCCCAGGGTCGACGCCTCCTGTCTCCTTTTTTTTTAGCCTGGTTCCTAGCCTAGACTCCGAGAATCGAGGCAAGAATATAAATCTCTACTGCACTATTACAGTCCTGTCGTGGGATAGGCCTAGGGCTGTCCCACCCCACAGTCGAGTTTTTTGCTTCAAAACAGACACCGCACCAGGACGGGACTGATCCGGCGCATAAGGCGGCTTCTTTGATGTTGGCCTAGGCGGAGTTAAAAATGCATTCCAAAAATTTCTTAAATATTGGCCAAATTTAAGAAATAATAAGATTTTCGTGATCAGCGACCCAAAATTAGCAAAAATTACGCGTGGAACCCATTGTAACGCCCGATTACCAAGTTAAATTAATTTTTGTGAGTTTTGTATACTTTTGTTGTTTTTTTCACTATTTGAATTCGGCGTGCACTAGGCCTTGATAGTGCAAGAGAGAAGGAGCCTGTGCCCCACGCATTGGCAAGAGTGATAGAAGGGAGGCAACACACACACACACACACACGCACGCACACACACACACACACACACACATACACGCACTGGCCCACGTTGTAGCAGCATGAGAGCCCCCCCACCCACCCCCGAATAGGGCGACAATATACAAGAGTGAACTAATCGTGAACTAATCGTGAACTGTCAGAGTCTGGTCATGAGTTGTATCCTTCTCTCTCTCTCTCCCTCTCTCCCCCATCTCTCTCTCTTTCTCTCTCCCCATCTCTCTCTCCCTCCCTCCATCTCTCTCACTCTCGCTCTCTCTCTCCCTCCCCATCTCTCTCTCCCTCGCATCTCTCTTTCTCTCTCTCTCTTCCCATCTCACTCTCTCTCTCCCTCTCTTTCTCTCTCTCTCCCTCCCTCCCTCCACCCATCTCTCTATCTCCCTCCCCCCCTCTCTCTCTCTCTTCTCTCCCTCCCTCCCTCCATCTCTCTCTCCCTCCCTCTCTCTCTCTCTCCTTCTCTTTCTCTCCCTCCCCCATCTCTCTCTCTCTCACACACACACACACACACACACATACACACACGCGCGCACACACATACACACACACACTTACGCATCCACACCCAAACACACACACACAAATGCGTGAAAGCCAACTTGCCTTGGAACGCGCGCAGGCTTATATTAGCCAGCCACGTCTGTCAAACTCGAGAATCGAGGTCTCGATCTTCAGAGCTATTTTTAGCAGTGTTCAAGACTCGAGGTCTCGATCTTAAGAGCTATTTTTAGCAGTGTTCAAGTCATGGCCTCTAAACAGCCCACTTGAAGCAGCTTCCAAAATCGAAAATCGGACTCGATTCCTCGATCTTTTTTCAGTTTTGGGATCGAGGCCTCAAGTCTTTTTGTCGTCGATCTTGCCCTGGCCTACTCACAACCTACACAAGATTCATCCCTGTTGGCCAACGCTATTTTACTATTCTGTCATAATTCATCATCTGCTGGAAGAAGACAGCTGGTTTTCCATATCATACATTGTCATCAGTTTTGTGATGATGTCTTGAATGATGTCCAGACTGAGGTCTTTGCTGAACACCTGGATGTCAAAGAAACATAGATGAAATAATAATGAAAATAATAACGCCCAAACATGCATGTATTTTTCTTTCTTAATTCAATGCCCAAAAAGAGCTCATTGACTCGAACAGAAAAAATGTTGCTTGGTGAAGGAAAAAAAGCTGACAGACAGCATGAACAGTGGGTGGGAACAGAAGCATTGAGGATTGAGGTAACAAAAGTAAAACTTGAAAAAAAATGACAAGAACCAACTATCTCTAAATACTATAACTATCATTTTTCTTTACAATTTTTATGACAAAGTTACCATGAAGTAGAATCTAGGACTGGCCAATTCCTGCCATTATAAAATGAGATTTTGTTGAAAACCTTCAAGGCAGTGTTTTTTGCCCCCCCCCCCCCCCCCCCCAAAGAAAAAAAATGATATTGTTTTAAGGGGGTTTTAGCCACTTTTCACAAATTTTTGTTAATGTAGCGAAACCATAAATTTTATTGTAAGGCGGATTAAAAAACAAAGCGGCAGCCAAACCCCCTTACAGAAGGGTGTAAGGGAAAAATTTTTTTTAGATGGGAGGAAGAGGTTCTCTTCTTAGGCCTTATTTTTTGAGAGAATATTTTGGTGGGGTATTTTTTTTGTTATGGTATTAGCGAACCTAACTGGTTGCCACCAGAAACTTTTTTTTTTTTTTTGTTGTCTAAAGAGGGGGGGTGTTTTAGAGGTTGGGGGGGG